CCTTACATTCCCATGGTTAGCGTTGTAGGTTTGTCTGTGTGTGCATGCTAATCCCCGGCACTGGTTCCGTGCGTGTGCGGCTACCGACGACCTTGGATCTCCAACCCTACTCTTCGCCGAACATGACACGTTCAGCCCGGAGCATGTGTCGCACCCCCTCCTCCGTTCACTGGTCGCTCGTCCAAACACCATGTTTATGCGTGCCATTAAACTCTCACCCTGTGTTTGGACCATCCATTGATTGGTCAACGCCATTATTCTTAATACTCGTAATACTCAGGTGTGGTGACTTATTCCTTTGATTGTCCGTAGTAGACAACTTGTTCCCTCCTATTGTTTACTGACACCTTGTTGTCAACTTGCATACACCGGGATACTGAACAATTGAAGTATGTCCCAATTATCAACTGTATATATCCTAGTAGTGCCGTAGTATTTGTGATCCGACTTGTGTTGATTTCGTGATCTTTGGCTACGCGTTATTCAACGTTCACGGTGGACGTTACAGTAACATTGGAACTCATTGGATGCGGTGCATTACAGCTTACACCATCGCAGTGCTTTTGTTTTTATGCGGTTGTCCAAATAAATGAACCTGGTTCAATCTATCCGTATTCCGTTCAGTGTTTCGGAATCTTTATTAGTCACCATCTTTGCGTCGGCCCTTTGAACATAAAAGCATACCATTATAAACCGTTAGAACACACGGCTTAATGGAGTTCAGCTTCGTCATAGCATCCTAGTCGTGCTATCAGCATTGTGCATTAAAATCTTGCATACTATTACAATTGTTAAGCGCGTTCACAAGCGAAGCTAATCTGCCAGGTAGATTAACACTCAGCACCTTTGTCTGGACCAAGGGACATTGGTCCATCATTTTCGTTCTTCGCCGACTTAAGGAATCTGTGCTGTATATGTCTGATAAAAAATCCAATAACTCTTCTTTATGCAATTGTCAAATGTTGCATAAAACTCTCTCAAGCTAGAGTTCTTGATGTCGCTGCTCGTGAACTATATGCAGATGTTTTGCCCTACACCGAACTTTCAGATGTGCGCAGCAACCTACACGCTCTGTTGCCCTGATATTTCCCTTGCATCCGCTTAGAATGATGAGGGTGCGAGAGAAAGTGCCATGATATCATACTAACAAGGCCCGAGAAATTTGAGGTCATTGTCCACAAGGATGTAACGGATTCTCTGCGGGAATTCAACACCGGAACTATAGATAAGTCCGTATGTCAGTTTGGAAGTTGCATGTAGCAAAATAACTTCATGGATTCGGTTACCTACCACATAATTCGCAAAATCGGCACCCCGAATCACCCACACTGTATGGTCCACGGAAAAGTTTTCTCTAGCAAACCCGTTGGGTGTAGGTAAAAAATTTGGGGACATTACTGCTTGACGTATCCAGCTGGCAATCAAGCGAGTTGCTGCGCGGAGACATTGACACGGTTAAACACATGATATCATGAGTGTCCGGACACGCATTGTTTTGCATTTCACCTGATAGGGAAACACGGAAAATCAACCTGTATGGGACACTAACTTCTCAGGTCGGACGCGGGAATGAATTATGTCGCACTCTGTTTTGTTTTTCCAATCAGATGTACATGTGATCATTTCTGGGGGTAATGCTGGTTGCCATCATGTGTCTTACTAACGCATACGCCTGTTATCAAGGCTTTCCGCTATACTCAGGTTGGGTTGAAAGTACTGCCCCACAAACATCAACGTGACTTTACGTAGAGGCAACATTCAGTGACTTCGTCTGCAAGCCATCTTGCACAGCCTTACCAGCCAGACCGATCGCAACGGTTGATTACACATGCGTTGCAACGCGAACTGAGTGCGTGCGCAAGCTTGCAAGAATGGCCACCCTGCTGCATTGGCCACTGCCTGCCCCGGCCTTACCAGCCAGGCCGGTCGCAACCGATGATCCCACCGCAACTTCAACATGCGAACGGAGTGTTTGCGCAGAACAGCAAGGCTGTGCATGACTGCCGCACCGGTCACTGACTGCGCAGAATCGCAATGCACGCCTGTTCCGGCATGATGGGAGGTACATCGTAAATGACCGAAATCTTACAGCCGCCAAGTACGAGTAGAAGGCTCATACTATGTTGCCAATATGAAAGATTGCAATACCATAGGATTGGATATTCGAGTGAGATCAGCGTGAGACATCTATTCTCATATACGCAGTTTCATTGGGAAGGGAGCACACATGTCGTTAGCAGAAGCACAAAGTAGCCATTACGCAGATAATGTACTGCATGTAACAGTAGGTGTCACTGAGAGGATAAGCCAAATATCAAGTTGTTGCACCTGAGGCCAATTTTGGTCATAACTTCTCACTTGCATATGGGATTTAACGTTGTAGTTACAAAGAGTTAACCAATGAAATAGTTTATCACATTTTCGTAAATGCAGTTGTGATGTCCATGCACGTGAACTGGGTGTAGATTTCTTGACCAGATTTAGGAAATCACACACTGTCAAAATGTTCTGTGCTAATTGCGTACAGGTCAAAATAACCACGCAAACGTGGTTACACCTAGAGCTTTACAGTCTATGACAAAACTATAACGCTGTGTGGCATATTGTGTAATACTCTGAACTTGCGCCAAATTTTTAACAGGGTACCGATGCAATCAGGTTGTTAAGCTTAATGCACCTGAGCGACTTAGATCTGGACTTCTCTATGGTTTGCGTGTTCACCTCGCACAACTAATCCGTTTTATACAATGAGGACAATGGCCTCACTTAAATCTGGCCTTAAAAGCTTGATATCCCGTTATCTTCACTCATAACACGTCATGGGCCGATAGACAACAAGTTCACTAGCTGCATATTATGCATCACACAAGGCTGGTGCAACGGATACAGTAGTGTTATGTAGGTTGAGTGTTTCTGGGCCGGCACTAAGCTTCGGTGTAGTGAGAAATACGCACGCAACTTAAATGTTCCATCGTACTCGGCAAACTGCAAGGTGGAAGAACAAGTTGCTGGTTCGTTCCCTGTCAGCGAAATAAGCACAGCTGATTGTGAGTGCGTGCTTTCACTACCGCCTTCATCAAATCTGCACGAACTTTTGCATTAACTGCTAAGCATTGGCTGTGGAACATCGCGACCCAAAGGTCAAATGGTTGAGGTGTGTCTACATTTCTTCCAACTTGTTTTATTTAGGTGTGCCCTGGAGAGGCACGATAGGCCGCATCGGCGCACCATCTTTGGTGGTCCGTAGAATTGCGCGATATTCGAAGCACAGGCTCTCATCCTGTCGAGCTCTTCTTTCAGGATTTGTTTCAATTAGGGAACTTGCTCCAATCTTCTGTTTACTTTTCTTGTCATCTGCGAAGTAGGATCGGTGTCGATGCACCTGTAGTTTGTTTTGTCATTCGAGAGACCTATGACATTCGCAATGTCATTCTTTCTATCCATTATGACAGTCAGGAGTCCCTTGTCAGCTGGTAAGATAATCATGGTTTCGTCAGATTTCACGGCATTCATTGCTACATATTCTTGTCTGGTTAAGGTGTTGTATTTCTTCATGTGCGTTAAAGCAGAAACAACAGCTATTATGTAACGCCATCCAAGGTATCCAATATACAGTGGAAGTGCAGGAAAAAAGCCAGCTCTCCTTCTTGGGCGTATTAATAACAAGAACCGTGGAAGTCCAGTTGCAAACATCGGTCTACAGAAAAGGCACACACGCAGACCAAATTCTGAACTTCAGCAGCAACCACCCGAATTGCCCAAAAGTAAGCTGTGTACGGACAACGCTTCGCAGAGTGCAAAAATATTGCAGCACTACAGCAGCATAGCAAAACGAAGAAAAGCACCTATTTAAATGTTTCCAACTCAGTGGATATCCGTGAAGCTTCGTCCGAGCGGGTCTGCATCACAACAACGCAAACGGACAGCCTATACAAGCAGCAGCAGCAGCAGCAGCAGCAGCAGCAGCAGCAGCAGCAGCAGCAGCAGCAGCAGCAGCAGCAGCAGCAGCAGCAGCAGCAGCAGCAGCAGCAGCAGCAGCAGCAGCAGCAGCAGCAGCAGCAGCAGCAGCAGCAGCAGCAGCAGCAGCAGCAGCAGCAACAACAACAACAACAACAACAACAACCACAGAGAGACGTTGTTCTGCTTTATATGAAGAACATATGGGAAATGGCAGTCAGACTATTCAAACAACATCGTCTCATCGTAGCACGCAAACCAACTGCCACGTTGCGAAAAACTATCGAAACCAAAAGAAAAATTGCAGGCGCATGAATAACGCAATGTGGTACACAAACTATGTTGCAATAGTGGTTCGACGATCTGTCAGGATCTCACCATCACCAGCTTCAGGACACAATGGTCTCTCCCCCCGCACTCCGGATAAACGACTATGATTACCTGCTCAAAATCATAGCTGATAGCGCTGAGACTGCAATGCGTTAATTTTCTCCTTAGTCTGCTATTTAGCTGACTTGCAAATCTGACGCATGGTATCATTTAGGTGTTTCTACTTTACACGGTTCTTGTAACAACTTCGAGGAAATTGCTCCAGGACGTCGTGGGTTAACACGTGGCAGTGGTTTTTTAATTAAAATGGCCACAAATATCCGTTTAACATTACCGATAGGTACAGAATGGCGGCCGCCGAACGAAAGAAATGCAATATAAGTAATCAGCCATTAATAAACAATATACGCGATTATCCGACCTTTATTTTCTTTCTTGTGCGCAAGCTATTTAGTCAAACAACCAGCTTGGTGACCCCTAAGCTGACCTAGATAAACAGGTGGCACCACAAACACTGACACAACCATGGGCCTTGCTGCATTAGCTTCCGCTTTTACGTAACGGCAATAGTTACTCTCTTTGAGTTCCATGGTTTATGATGGCTCGATGTTTATTGTTTATACTGCTGCTCGGTCAGCGGGCTGCGATGCATGTACAAATAGAATACACCAACACCCAAATGTGCGGCCGCAACTTGCACTTTTTAACCGCAACAGGAATGCTGCATCCCATTTGAATAATAATCAATTTGTGACACGTGTTTATCCGGAATGACTTTAAGCCTGTTGGATGGACAAGTTCCGCAATGGATACTTTTATCACTCCAAGTCTTGTCAATACAAGGTGATCCAAGTACAAATTTCACCAAATGGCTTGATATGATCCCAAAGTCTGGATTGCCACCTGTCTCACCGATACTCAATCCGGAAGAGCGACGACATTTTAAACCCATTCCTCGTTCATGGCCAAGGTACAAATTTCAGCGTACCTTCGATTGCTATACTTGTCAAAACTGCATTGCAGAACCAAAAACCGTTCTCAGGACTGAGAGCGATTGCACAGAATGTGTTGTAAGTTATGCAGAGACATCTCAGACTTAATATGCGAAGAATTACCAGTTAGAGCTCGGGAAACACTCCTCTTTTAGGATCATAGGCGATTGGCTTCAATTAGATGCGATCATTTGTCAGTGGTTCAGACGCCTGTTTTACATCACCTGTGCATCTGAGTTGCAAATCCGTAACCATCATTACCGTCATCCTCATCATCAAATAGAAGTGAAAAAGACTCCTGCTATTGTGACACCATTCGGATAAACCAGCTAGTGCCAACATCGAGAAACCAATGCTATTACACCTTGTTTATGATATTTAACTAAGATGAGACCATGATTGAAAGGAAGCGAAATAACGGCTCGAAACACAACCCCAACTGTGGTCAGCTCTTGACGATGTCAACAAGTGTTGACAAGCACATTTGTTCATTGTTCTTAAGACTCTAATTAGACAGCCGTGACATTGGTGAGGCCAGGTTCGAAGTGGGTGCTCTCATTTCCGTTCAGTATATTTTCGCCTGGTGTCTTATCCTCTTTTGCTATCGAGAACGCACTAGCGTAAACATTTCGTTCGTGCTAATCGATATATCGGCCTTTGTAACACGTGGTTAAGCCATTGAGACCTGGTGCCTAAAGTAGCGTTTTTTTAAGGCCTGTGTGTATTTACTACGCCATAAACCTGATGGCGAACAGGCTGGCTTGGTGTTTCAGCCAGAAATGAACAGAATCACTGACGCAACTAACAGCTATACATTAGTCAATCAGCCGGGCCATGTTTCGAAACCCTGCAAAATCATTGAATATCGACTAGATTGTAGAATATACCCTTCGGAAGTCTAAATAGTTGAAGTTGATCAAAAGCACGTTCAGAGATTTCTCTAACGTTGGATGTCTCCTGTTTTGTTAAACAGGTGCTGATATAGTTGCTCATTTATCTGTATTTCTCAGCAAAATCTAGCTAACCCTAACCAGGGGGTAATTCAGCAGTTAATCCTCTCAACCGTAGAGGAAGGGCTTGCATTTTAATAGTGTGAAATAAGACCAGAAATGATTGACAGGCAGTACTTATCTGTTCGGTCTTGCTTGGTAAGCCTACATACTATCCTAGATGGTAAAAGCATTAACGGTACTCTGGCACACAGTACCAATGCATCGCCGCCAAGCGACCATATGAGGGCAATCTCGTCGAACTACCCAGTTTATCATTAGTTGGAGCTTCACATCTTCCAGTCCGCCGGTGACCGAGTGGTCTGCACACCTGGTGGTGGTCGCGCGGCAGCGAAGCGCCGTTAAGGCGTATAGCTGACAATTAATATTTATTTCACATCTTCCAAGTTGAGCATACTTGATGCGATTTTTATGACCATGTCAATAATGAAGACGAAACAAAAGTTAATGGCGGTTACCCTTGTCACACCACTAAGAATATGTAGGGCGATGATAGCTGTTAATAAAAGCGCAACCCGCCCTAATTGAAGACGTGAAGTATTTCTAAAACCTGATTGTAGCTCGATGAGCAAATCAACATATAAACTGTCAAGCCTTGCTACCGATTTTTGGTGTCGATGTTCGTTACGATATTTTCCTGCTTCTTAGGCACACCATTCATTATCAAAGAATCGGCTAGTTCAGATATTTTCCTCTTTCAACAAGTTATTCGGTGACAGTGTTCCAGATGGTGGTGCCTGGCAAACGTTTACTATATAAAGTGCTACAAATACCTGTTTGAATAAAGGGAGCAGCTTTTAAGAAACGAATTATTTTGGGTAATTCTCATCAGACTCAAACTTTACATGATGATCGTTATGCGCTAAATGTGCCAAATAAGGCTGTGTATTGAACAGCATCTTTAATTCCTGAGCGTTTCTTGCTCGGATACCGGAAGCATCTCAAACCTAATGAGGAAGCTAGCTATTTCCGCCACCTCAAACCGCAGTTTTGCGTACAAAAGCAGTTTGTACGGCCTTCACTTCAACCTCGGCATACAACTGTTGTAAGTTCCTTTGATTTGGGCCCCGGTTAATCTTTGTGTAAGCTATTTTGCTCCTGTACACCTTCAGCGATCGCGTGATTTGTTGGTTCATTCCCGTTGGAATTAAACATTGTGATCAATACGTAGCTCTGTACGGCACATTTAGCACATACTTGTTATAATGTAAAGCCTGGGTCTGATGAGAATTACCGAAAAAGATGATTTACCCAGAATCTGCCTCCCTTGAGCTAATCTAATAAATGGGCATTTTTGGATTGCTGATGATTAGAGTACCCGTGGGTAAATATCTGTTTAACAACACTGAGACGTCGCGGATGTACTCATTCCTAAAGTAGGCCGCTGCACTTCGCTAGAATTCCAGCTACCGGATTCCTGCTTTGTAGTCCGATGGCGCGGGTTCGAGCATGCGTAGGAGACCGGGCGTTCCTCGAAGTAATCGTAGCCCGCGCGCCACTGTTGTTGGATGCGTGACAGCCAAGTGTCAGCATTGCCTACCGGCGTTCTGCTGATATCCCCTACCCCTAATCTACCAAAATAAAGGCGTACAATCTGGGTATTTAATTAGCGCATCAAAATGATTACGACTCCTTGAATTTGTCACTCTGCTGGCAGGCTATGTTGCGGGAACGTCAAGTAACCTCACAATAATGCTCCACCAACTCCTGTGTAGTCTGCGCCACTCATTGTTCATTTCCTCCCCGAAGCGTAGCAGGGTCCAGCCACTCCGAGTCGGGACGTAACTGGATGGAAGTGGATAATGTTCTTTCGTAAACCACGCGCCCTACGTGGTGATTCATTTCACCCATAACTGGGGTTCGACCTTTGTGGGTTGTAACAGAACTCGAAGAGGTCTGCTTCGTCTTATCTTTTCTCCTCTTGTGGGTGGTTGGGAACCGCGTGGTAACGTGATCGTGTGCTCTGCTTTAGCCGTGTGTTGCGTATGCGCCTAAGTTTGCGCGTCTAGTCCCCAGGTCGTGTGTGTATCGTTGTCTGTCTTCGAGGGCTCAGCGTGTCACCCGAATCCGTGTGTGAATAGGGACCATGTTCAGGTTACGCGTAACTTTCGCCTAAGTCAACGCGACCAGGTCTGCGCGAATCCATTACAGGCTACTTAAACAAAGATTCGGGCGGTATTCCCCAATTTAACCTCCAACTTCCGTTAAGGCAACACGCAGTATTACCACTGACAAAGCAATATAGTGTTTCACCTCTTGCTTACCAGCTGCTGTTTCTGCTATTAGTATTCCCTCGACTCGGTGACACACCAACTGTAAGTTTTCTATCAATTCCTGTTATCCCTTACCAGATGGTTGTGCCCATGGATCTACTTCCGACGCCAGTGTTACCTCGAAATCTGAGATTCAACCAGTGGCCCACCTTCGACCCCGATTCTGATTTCGTCTAGTATGCTTCAATTTATGTACACTTATGTTGATTTTGCATCCGGCCGGTCTAGCGCGTATCCCGAAGTCCCTGGCTATTGATGTCCGCTACTTTACCGAAACCACATCACAGGACTACAGTACTGTGCTTAGGTCGACGTCCGTCATTGACTGCGAAAGTACACATGCTTTGTGCATAGCTGGTGACCTAGAAGCAACCCCAGCGGGTATGGGTAGTGAAAGTGTAGCACTAAATGTCAAAGCCAAGTCCGCACTGAGGACTGAATTCAGATTAACATTCCACCGTGCATTTGTAAGTTGTAGGGGGATTTATTAGGTTTTTATGTAGGTTCGTTGCAGTTTACACAGGCAAACAACCACCACACATACAGGAAAACGCTAGAAGGCCGTTTCGTCCTATTAGGACTCGTCAATATCGCGCACCCGCCGAATCCTACCGGATTGAAACCCACGACCTTACTCTTGCGAGTTAGCGACTTATGTCACTGAGCCATGGGCGACGACAGCAGACCGCCATGACTGATATCTAACTACGATGTAGCGCGGCTCATCCTCCGCTGTCTTGCAGGTTATAAATGTGCAGAGGACAGGGCTAGCCCCCGGAGCAACGACTTCCTTTGCCTAACTGTGTCTAACTGCGACGCACTCACACAAAATCTAATAAATCCCCCTACCACCTGCAAATAATCAGTAATCACCTTAACAGCGTACATACCAACTCGATTGGTGGCGGCTTACAAAGGAATTCATTGCTTTGGGGGCTAGCCCTGTCCTCTGCACATTCATAAAATGCAAGACAGTGGAGGACGAGCCGCGTTATATTGCAGTTAGATATCAGTCATGGCGGTCTGCTGCCGTCGCCCATGGCACAGTGACATAAGTCGCTGACTCGCAAGAGTAAGGTCGTGGGTTTGAATCCGGTAGGATTCGGCGGGTGCGCGTTACTGATGAGTCCTAATAGGACGAAACGGCCGTCTAGCGATTTCCTGGGTGTGTGGTGGTTGTCTGCCTGTGTCTAACTGCGACGCACCTACACAAAAATTCCACCGTACAGTTCGGCTGTAGTGCTCATGCAGAATCAACAAGAGTGGGGAGGAGATTCCTCACCTTTATGTGATCCCGTACGTGCCAAATGACTGCAGCTGCGACCTGACGAATGGCAACTTTTGTCCATAATTTTAGCAACACTTGAGCAACGCTGACAAATTGGATGTTGTTGTCCCTGATGGGTGTTTCAGTGCATGTGTTGGTCGCCTGTTACCAAGTGAACGTCACCATGGTGGTTATAATGCACTTAATGACGAAGATGGGATTACTACATTGTGCGATAACAAGCAGCTGTTAAAATCCCTCTTTTTTAACAGAATTCTGGTCTGACCACATTTAAAGCGGTCTGAAATGACAGGCGGCTTAAGAAACTGCACCCCATTTTGGTTTATTTTCATTGACACAAAGCTCGCGCTGTCTATGTGAACATCTGCATGCGTTATAAGGAGCTCTCGTAAACTTAACTCCGCAAGATTGATGAGAACATATCAGTTGATTCGTCCGTCCACGTGATCCCACAATCATCGTAGGCTGGTGCACTCAGTCGCGACCCAAACAAAAGGTTGATCAAAACTGGACTTCTGCGTATCGGTTTGATTCCCACATGGTTTGATTTAACAAACTCTTTCTGGTAAGGAATGATAGGACCAGAAAGCTATCAAGTTTGGTAGATGACTTTTCTGAGGGCTGTTCAAGCAAAACTCATCAGAAATTTTAAGCCCCGTTGTTGCCTTCAAATAATAAACTGAAGCACGATTCGCGAAACGAAATTGTTTTCCGATTTTCAAGCTTTGAGATGCAATTCATAAGGGAACCATGTAATATCACAATTAATTCTGAGTCCATTGGTCTATTTACCCTCACCTCAGGTCATCCATACAAGGCCCAACCCACCATATCGGATGTGTAATAGAGGAAATACCTCCATATGCTTGAGCAATACATCTGCTCGATGCTGCCGGAGCAATCTATGTAACCACGCAACAAAATCGCGTGGGTTACATTACTTGAACTACACGGTTTTGACTATTTGGACCGTATACCAGTTCGTCGTCTTTCTGTCAAATTAGATAACTGCTGTTGACGTTATCTGTAGTTGGATGACTTGTACAATTTTGCACCATGCTACAATGTGTAACACCTAAAATATAAATAACGTCAGTGCTGCAAATCTGTTTGTGATACCAGGGGGCAGCCAATGAAACGATTGGTTGGATTTTTCCCATTTATTTGAATTATCGCAATTCTGTAGCGTACATGGCAACGAGACTGGACCTTAAGATGGTGCGAGATTTTGTGTACCTCGTCAACCATTGAACTACACTGGGTGGTGCCCCGCCCTGGCGACGAGACTGGAAATTAGCGCGGCGTGATGGTTTGCGTGTCTCAACAATCCATTTGACTATGCTGAGTACTACTTTAGCACCTTCAGAGCCACCCGTACCAGATTGATCGATGGGTAGAGGCCTGACAAACTCAGTCTCCTGTTCCTCCAGGCTTGGAGTTGGAGTGAGGGTGGCTCCTTGTTCCGCATAGCGGGTTCTGTGTAGTCTAATGCCAAATCCACCGCCTTGCGGTTAGTTTATGAACTAAAGGCTTTGGCTGAGAACCTTAAACGTTCTTCTGTCTAGGCCTTGATAACCTGAGAGTATTTTGACCACGCAATACAATGAACCTTTCTTCAAATAGTTTCCTTTTGCTCTGACAATCTCAGCTGATAATAAACGGTGTCCTGTCCTGCATCGAGCAGAGTGTATGTGGTATTTGACAATACTGCTCAAGCCTTCCTATCTTCTCCACCCTCTTGTGCTTTTTCATCCTTATCGTCCAGTTTCAACTTCCCTTTTACCCCCACCCCATTTTTCAACATCCCACTTCTCGGTCCTGCTCCATCTTTGTTCAGTTATCCGCTATCTTTTATTTTTGACTCACATGTAATCGCATGGTGTCGCTCCAGTCCACTAGACAAGTCCAAATGCAGTCAAACGGAAAACGTCAATTTATCTGCTTCTTGTTGAAGCTCTCGATCCTCCCTAAGACTGGCGAGCCTCAATGTGCGCACTTTGTTGTAACTTGGCCAAAAGGCAACACATGCCCGAACACTGGAGAATCTATCAGTCGAAATCGGTTGCTTATCAGAAACACACCTGCAGAATTTGAATTCTGTACTTACCCTGCAATCGCAAACGTGCAACACTGGCGGTATTTTCTCACAGTGTTTGTCCGGAGATGAAGCGGTTTCAAATGCTGGTCGAGCAAGTGTGGGAATTTCTCTTACGCCACGGACTGAATCTGCCCTGATCGAATGGATGCCAATGAACAGCCGAATGTGCGCTGTCAGTTTGGCAGGCTCGTTCATAGCCTCGAAGTCGCGTGGGTACAACCGGTGCTTGTTTGTCATTGTGGCCTATTTATCCAAAAAGTTTAGCGCTGGTTCTGCGAAAGATGAATTTGCTCACCAACTGAACGCGCTCCTTTGTCACAGAAAATGTACGGATACTGTGGTGCTGGCTGATGATTTGAGTGTCTAAATCAGAAAATTGTTCACTGATGAGCTGCATCTGAGTGGCCAGCACAGTGTAGGCTCTCGTAATGATAACGGTGAGCGGGTGCTACACTTATGTGAAGATGATCGTCTGTTGCTTGTGAGCACTAACTTCAGAAAAAGCACCCGATGGTGGGGGATAGGGTGCCCACCATCCTCGGAGCAGCCATGGATGCAAATCGATCACACTGTGTTCAGTTACCGCTGGAGAGAATACGTTCAAAACTGTGGCTCAATTTGAAGCACCAGCGTGGACTTCGACCACGCACTCTTTACGCCGACTTTCGATTGCGTTTTGGTGAATGTCCGCAAAGGTGGTGTGAACTCGTGGATATCTGCCAGATTTCGGTGCAAGCCGTACTGAATGCGTATCAAAGCACGCTAGCATCTGACCTGAATAAACGCTCACTGAATACAATTGAGGATCACTGATCGCATATCCGCCAGAAGATATTAACAGCGGGTACGTCTTTCTTGTGGCAACTCAAGTTGCCAACTTAGATACTGGGTCTCTACGCCGTCTCTGGTACTTCCAGATGCTCACTGACCTGTTCCCGCTAGAACCGAATACAATGAGACTGGCAAAGCTTTCTGGAAGAAATTAATTGCTAACCTGAAGATAGACCGCGAAGCTTGGTGGTCTTACGTGCATCGGAGATAGAGAAAGCCGCTGCTTTTGGTAACAATCGGGGGTTATTCCGTCTGCTACAAGAAACGCTTAGCAGGAAACCTGATGTTAGCGAGACCATATGCTATGAGAGTGGACAGCTGATCCACACCTATTCAAAGCGCTTGGAGTGTTAGGCCGAACTGTTTGAGAAACAACTCAATCCATCACATTGGTCGGTTTCTCCATGGGCCATTTACATGGATGCGCCCTCACGCACAGAAATCGAACGTGAGTCCTGAATGCTGAAATTGAGCAATGCCGCCGGAGAAGTTGGACTTCATCCAGCCGTCTACAAATTTGGGGGACCTGCTCATTTGGACTACTTACATAAGTTGTTAGTGAATCTATGGGAGCAGGAGACGGTCCCGACCGGCTGGAGCCGCTCCGTAATAGTTCAACTTTTCAAGGGAGACCCACATTCCGAATACGGCAGTCATAGAGTAATCAGACTGATCTCAGTTGCCTCTAAATTACTTGCTTCTGTCATCCTCCATAGATTGACTGGCATTCCTGAAAGCCAGATGCGGTATGAGCAGGCCGAGTTTCGTCGAAATCGAGGCTGCATGGACCACAGCTGCACACTACGTCGATTATTGAAGCAACGCCACATTTATTGGAGGCTCAGGGTAGTCGTGATCTCAGACATAATAGAGGCCTTTGATTCGGTTGATCAGTGTGCCTTTTGGGAATGTCTAATGAGGAAAAGGGTGCTTGAGAAATATGTAAATATGATTCAAGCACTATACGACCATAGCTATGGCAGAGTGGTGGTTTACGGCGAGCTTTCGCCGCCCTTCATTATATACGGCGGTGTGAAACAAGGTTTCCCGCTGTCAGCTTACCTGTTTAACTTCGCCATTGACAAAGTCATGGAAACGGCATACGGCGGGCACGAATTAGTTGGTGTGGAGCTGCAGCCAGGTAAGAGACTTCTTGACGTGGAGAATGACAACGACACTGCGCTCATCTGTAGCAGTTCCCGAACGTGCCAAGCTGCACTATGCTTTGTACCATCGAATTGCAAAGTTTTTCCCAAGGTTGGCAGCGACTCACTCCTGCGCAGACCCTTGGCGGGGATCAGCTAGAAGTCGTCCGGAAGCTTGAGTATATTAGCAGTTATATTAGCGCCAGTGGAACGGAAGATTAGGTCATGAACCGTATAGCGAAAGCTCGGGATGCTTTTGCCAATCTCCGCCACCTGCGGCGCCGGTGTGACATCACTCTCGTTCTTACAATGCAGCCATCTGTTCAACACTCCTGTAAGGTTGCGAATCCTGACCCATTAGATCAGCCGACATAAAGAATCTAGTTATGTTAGACCATCGATGCCTTCGGAACTTGGCTTATGTCTGGTGGGAACACCGTGCGAGAAATGGGCGTGTTCGGCGTCGCGTATTTGGTGCAGGAAGAGCGAATAAACTGCTCAGCACCGTTATTTCACGCACTAGGCTCTGATGGCTGGGCCACCTGTTGCGCATATCAGCCCAACGACCCACGTGACGTGTGTTGTTTGCGTTACTAGGGTGTGAATGGAAGAAGGGGAGGGGAGGCCAAGCGATGACTTGGTCAAGAGAAATGAAGTCCCTCGCTTCGAACTTCGCTTCAGTTGGTGTTTCCCGAAGGACGATAAACACTTTGGGCTAGATTCACTAGCTGACGTGGCGAGCAGCCAACCTCAAAGGTGTTTGTGTTGTGAGTTTCTTTGTCCCTTCCCTCCCCTTTAGCTTCCCCTCCAACGAGGATTTCACCTCAATGCAAATGGTGATTTTAGCATTCCTTTTGTAGTCTGAAATGTTTAATCTTTTACCATTGTTATATTACGTTACATTAGCTGAGGCATGTTTCTCACCCTCGGTTAACGTGTTTGATGATAATGGTAATGGTTACAATGCTGAGTTCTCTGCAGGGCAATTGCTGATTATGACGCCCAGCAGTGAAAGTCGCAAGGAAATATGTTCGCTGATGCCGCCTTGTCTTTGCCCGATAGCCAGCTCTTTGTGACAGCGTGTTTTTGACAACATCTGGGCAGCATGACCCCGAATGTTTGTTTAGAGCACTAATATTTTCCGGTAAGTTCCCCTTCTCTCTCCATTATTGTTCTTCGTTCCGTAGGGGGTTATGTTTGTATGGCAAGTGAGTATCAATTCAAAAGCTGATGTAATGCCGTTGTTGGTAGTGAGTATTGATACTGAAAAGGACTAGCTCGAAATGGGTTAGTTCGAATGACAGCTAATTACAAGTTAGATGGAAGAAATGATAGGTTAATAGTAAATAATATGTCGCTATTCCCATAGCTCATCTTGGAACAAAGCTTAGGTTGTGTTGGTAACTCACAGCCCACTGTGACATCTCCGATTCCATCGGACGGTGCTTGGCATGTGCCCACCGAGACTTCTACGGAAGCAGAGATCCGAAGCGCAATTCAATGCTTGAAAATTCATAAAGCTCCCTGCCCTGATAGTCTACCCCTGGCTCTATTCAATGATGCCTGGAATACACCTATCAGCAAAATCCACACACATTTCATGAAGGTTTTGTCTGACAAGAAAGTCCAGATTGCATGGGAGAATATGCCGTTGTCCCGATTTACAAGAAAAGCTCCATTGAAGATTACGCTAACTACCGTTGCATTTTGTTGATCTCTGTTGCTTCCGAAACTCTCGTGGCTGCCCTATTCTGCAAGCTTTCAGCAATTAGAGAAGTTTTTCCCGAGAGGAGCGAGTGAGTTTTCGTCTAGATAAAGGTTACATTGACCAAATATTCATACTCCGCCAACTTCTTGAAATCCGTCACGTACAATGACAGCCAACAACCGTAGTTATCTTAGAGATCCGAGCGCCATTTGACTCAGTAGGTAGATCTGAATTGCGGAAATTACTAAGGAAGAGTGTGTCAGACAAGTTTGTAACCAACCTGGAGGAACTCCACAGCCGCAGTTCAGGCAAAGTCAGGGATTACAGCAGGCTTTCTACTCC